TTTTCCTTGAGAGAACAAAAATCTTATGCTCTAGAGTTTTCCGGTTTTACCTTATGAAATCGNACGACCTTTACCCTCAGCATGCAGACTTGCAACTGCTTTGTGGCATATTCCTGATGAGAAGTCTCACAATCCCATTTAGTTTTTGTAAATCCTGCACGAATAAATTCCCAGAGAGTAACTTTGGGAAATTTTCTACATTTTCCTTGAGAGAACAAAAATCTTATGCTCTAGAAACAAATTCGAATGCATTAATTTACTTGTATTGACTCAATACTATTGAGTTAATTTTACTTAGAGTGAGTACAAAAATTGTAGTAGATTTTGCTGATTGAGTTTTTTGTTAAAATACACATCTCATTTTAATTGTATTCAGTAGCTTTTTGTAACCATTGGTTGTTCAATTTCCGTTTATTACAGCTCGACTAAAGATCTATTTAACCTTCTTTTTATTTGTTTCTTCTTTTTTCTGGAGTCTAGCTCTACTTAGTTACTGTATGTTTCCTTATGTAAGTGAAGCGGTGTTCTCTACCATCTTCGATTGAGATACCCCAAAGCAGTAAATAAACAAAGAATATCTAATATTTTATACTTTGCTCATCCTTGAAAGCCTTTTATATTGTCACATTCATTCCGAGTTCAAGTAATAAAAAGAAAAAGGGTTTCAAATTGATTTCATCGATACAATTTTCCTTCTTGTTATAAAAAGATTGTCCTATTGAAGAAAGATCTTATTACTCTTTAAATGTAGTTTTTTTCCGGTATACGTTCCTTCATCCGATGAGCTTTACAATGATATTGAAATAGTTCAGCGAATTAAGAGGTTCCGCTGGCGAGGTCATGTCATACGAAATGATGCACAGTGGGACGTCCACATATAAGCTGCGGCCAAAAGTAGTAATCGTACTAGAAATTCGCTGAAATTTCGCATATGCGCTTTTCGGCACTTAATAAAAGAAAATAGTGGAAATAGTGAAATTCTACGCGTTACCACGCCCACAGCTCTTGGNAATGATGCACAGTGGGACGTCCACATATAAGCTGCGGCCAAAAGTAGTAATCGTACTAGAAATTCGCTGAAATTTCGCATATGCGCTTTTCGGCACTTAATAAAAGAAAATAGTGGAAATAGTGAAATTCTACGCGTTACCACGCCCACAGCTCTTGGGGACGGAAATAGTAAATGTTATCCGATTTTGATGAAATTCAGAGCATATGCTGGTTTTAACGAGAAAAGCATAAATTTTAAAGATCGTCAAAATCGGTTTACATTATCGTCCAGTAATTCCAGAAGAACAGGCGTAAATTTAAACATAGATCTTTTTTGATGAAAGTCGGTGTGCCTCGCTCGTTTAAGCCAGAATTTTCCAACTTGGAAGATAATAAAGAATTTCTTATTACGGCGCTCGCCTTCTACATAACTTTTTTGGCTCCATTTATGAATTTCGGAGAAAATGAACAGGCACATTTATTTTATTTCTAAAGAAGTTCCTATTTTCTATATTTCTTCATTTTAAAAATGACAAACCCGAAAACATTCACAATACCTGCATACTAAATTATGTGCACGATATGTATTAAGGGTGACAGGTAATAAGATCAACGGAAATAAGGTCAATTGACTTTATTTCCCACCCTGGTGCGAAATAAAGTCAACTGACAAAATTACCTTTTTAAAAACGAAATAAAATCCATTGACGTTATTGCTCTTTCAAACATTAAATTTGCTTAGCTTCGCGACGGCCAGCGTCCACGCGCGCCGCGTACCCCGCGTGACCGGCGCGCTACACCAAGTCACGCTACGCGTGCCGAGATTGGGAAACGATTGCTGTGTCAAACTCGATCAAAATCCTCAGGGTTAATCTAGAAAATATGTATTTAAGATTCTGCGTCTTCATTGTAATTGTCCGTCTAAATGATCTTTGTGAGGTCTGACCACAGGTCATACTTGTGAACTCCTCTATGACCGTCACTCTACCGCCGTGAAATTCTCCGCAACTACGTCGAAGGATACTAAGCTGAGGATCCTTTCTAGTAGGCAATTAGAGTGGGTTTTTGGCGATTTTGTAATTTTAATTGAAATGTATGTACCTAAGTCCCAGGGCCGAAAAGTTTAAGCTCTGGATTTGAATATTTCATTTTGCTAATTCAGGGTTCTCAATCTTAATTTTAACGGCCATGCATATTTTGCTTATTTTAAAGTACACAGGATCTCTACTGTTACGATTATCCTTGATTTCTCGATGATATCCTAAATCCTTCCAGTTCATTTCACTGTATAAGTAAAAGCACACTTAAATTATTGTGTAATTGTCTTCATTGTACAAGAAAAATTTTACAAGCTTTGCTCGTATGTATGTACATTAGACCGCATCACTCCCCATACAAAAAAAATCGGTACTATTTTTCCATTGGAATTATAAAATCTATTATATTTTAAGACGTCCAGCAAAATATTTCGGAAAAATATGAAGATTTAAGTGAGCTGGACCGATTTGAAAATACCTCCAAAAATGCAGTTTTTTATGAATAAAAATAGTTTCTTACAGATTTTTTTTTTAAATCCCCTCAAATGACAAAACGGTTTAAGCTTAAAATATTTGCATAGAAATATTAAAAAAAATTAAACAAAAATGTTGAACGGAATCGTAATGAAGAGATTTTTGATGCTGTTTTTTAACTTTTTTCAAAGATTGGTATAGGAAAAACTTGAATAACTGAACCTAAACTCTTCCGATTTAGACTTAAGAGGTGTCATTGGAAAGGTATTTTCTCAATCTTTTCATTTCTTTGCTAATAAACTCATTCAAAGGATGGAAGAGAAAGGTAGGATGAACGAACGTCATTCAAAGTTGAATTAAGATGTGTTGGTATTCGAAAAAACAAGATGGGGCACGAATGACTATTTTACCAGGAATAAAAACAGTGTTAAAATACCTTTCTACTGATGTCCCATAAGTCTAAATCAGAACATTATTGGCCCAGTTATTCAACATTTTCGTAAACCAATCTTTGAAAAAAGTAAAAAAACAGCATCAAAAATCTCATTCTTACGATTCCGTTGAAAAGATTTTTAAATATGTTTATGCAGATTTTTTAAGCTTAATCTAATTTGTCATCTGAGGGGACTTTTTACAAAAAGTTCTTTAAGAAACTATTTTTATTCATAAAAAACTTCATTTTTGGAGGTATTTTCAAATCGGTCCAGCTCGCTTAAATCTTAATATTTGGCCGAAATATTTTGGTGGACGCCTTAAAATATAATAAATTTTGTAGTCCCGGCGGAAAAAACGCAACTTTTTTTGGTGATGCAGTCTAATGTACATACATACGTAAATGCATGTGTGTGCACCTATCTATTAATATCGTTGAATTATTTTAATATCTATTGCAAAATTTTATACAGACAAGACTAAGAAGTAGAAAATAAATAATATAAAAAAACTTTTTAATATTCAGCACTTTTGTAAATGGACTAAAAAGTAGAAAATAATACTTCTCAGTCCCATAGAATTTGTTTTGATAACTTTTGATTTTGAAATTTTAGCAAAAGTCGTTATAAACAATTTATGAGATTGAATTTGAAAAGCGTGGGGCGCATGCAATACAAAGCATTATATATTTAATTGACAATAGGAAAACTACATAACATAGCCTCAAAATTCCTACAGAGAAAGTACAAATTTGAGATCGATTTTAAGCGGTCGTTATTCATATATCCACATACATATGAACATATATTACCCTCCATATCAGTTCAGGTGTCTATTACATGCTTTTCGTTTTCAATCTCATAAATTGTTTATGACGACCTTTACTAAAATTTCAAAATCAAAAGTTATCAAAACAAATTTTATGGGACTGAGAAATATTATTTTCTACTTTTTAGTCCATTTATAAAAGCGTTGTATATTAAAAAGTTTATTTTATATTATTTATTTTTTATTTCGCTTCCGAAACAAAATTGTTTTCGTACAAAATTACGCAAAAAAGGTGTAAATTTCTTCGAAAGTTCGAAAATACGATTCGGATTGCAGCATACCTGTTCTACGATTCGTAGCAAAATCCGAATACGAAAGTGTTGCACAGTGTTATGTACAGGGGCCCGTGATTTTTCAGTCCAGCGCTCCGAGCTGTCTCTAGACGGCCCTGCATGTATGTAACTATGTGGTTTTATCTTTACTCGAATATGAATCAACAGTTTTATTAGCAAAGACCAAAGCGTGTGTACATCAGTATGTACATTTAAATAGATATTGCAAGTGTTAGAATAGTATAAAGGAAGAAATCCCTAATTAAAATTAATTGATTTCTGGCTTTTGACTCTATCGGCATTACCTCGTTCGTTAAAGGTAAAATAAACGAACAAAATTGCAGAAAATTCAATAGTAGCTCTGACCAAAATCAGGAATAGTGCAGTTCCTCGTCGGTTCGTTCATACAACATATTGAATTAGGTCAGTAGCATATCCTGCCGATTGGAGTCGAACTGCTGAGCACTTATATGTACATACATTTCTACAAACGTAGACTCTGCTTTGAATAACTTCTTCTGGCCATTATTCTCCATTCTTTTCGCAAACTAACACCCTCTCACTGAAAGTAGGTGTAAATGTGTTAAAGTGGCAAGCATGATTTTAAGTTGCAGCGCAGTGTTGCAAGATTTAGTTGGCCAGACGCCGCTGCGGACTCCGAGTTCAATTCAAACTGTTGAGTGAAAGACTCCTGCAATGACGTTTTGTTTACGAGCCCACTGAAAAGTCGGCAGAAGTGCTGGAGAGAAGGTGAGGTTATTGGAAAGCGCGAGAGAGAGAGAAAATAAAACTCCCTTCTGAAGAGTTGTAGTGCAATCACATACAATTCGGCCACATACCCTCCATAAGGGATATTGAGCGCGCAGAGATGTTGTTTGGCTACTTACTACAAACCGGCTGGCTGGTGGCTGTTCTGGTGGCAAGTGACTTCTGTTGCATGCGCTGGCTCAACAATCAGTTCGACTTGGACGGGCAACGCGTGAGCACGCAATCAACGGGCGCGTTCTATGGGTAGTAAATAGTAGTTAGTTAGCAATAGTCGGAATTTCTACAAAAATAAAATAAATTCCGCTTATTGAAACGCGCGCTTAGTGAAGCGAACATTAACAAACCAACTCTATTAGTGACATATGTAGGCATGTGAATTGGGAAAATATTATTGAATTTACTTCAAAAATTATTTTAATCAAAAAGATAGCACGGGAAGTGGAAAAATTGCTGAATAAAATTTAGTAAAAAATTTAAAGTGTAAAAATGGAAGTGACGACAACAGCGCATTATCTTTACGATACTAGCACCCCCAGCTTTGCTGACGATATAACCGACTTCACTGATACCCCTTACGCCGACTTGGCGGCAGTTACGTCAAACAACGTAGTCGACCGGCTGCTTCACTCTGGCGAACAGTTGACACACAACCAAATCACCTTCGAGATACCATCGCATCACGATCTCGAGCACATCAACACGTTGCACACGTTCAATACGCTGCTACAGCGCATCGGCAATGTGGCATACGACACTGTTGCTTCCGCCAACGCACAGGCACATAGCAGGCAGGCAACAGAGGAGCAGGCGCTACGCCCGCTTGGCGTGGATGCGACTGGCCACCGCATTACCAGCGAACAAATCTCAAGGAGTGCTGTGTTGAACATGGCCGACCTGAAGCGTGGGGTCGGTGATGTGGGTGGTAGCTTCTCAGAACGTGTTTTTGGCGATGCCGATATGCATACGGTCATCAATTATTTATGGATTGGTGTTGTCACTGCGTTGGTGGTGCTGTCCGTGATTTTCATTGTGTTCTCCTGCTACTTTTATCGCAAATTCCGGCAATGGAAGAAGTGCAGTAAGTAATAAGCGCATAAGTGATAAATTGACTGCTATAAATTCATACATACATATGTATGTACATATTTGTATGAGTGTGTGTGTCTGCAAATATCCCAGTGGGGATCTAATGTATTGCTTATGAGTTTTATATTCTATTATTGTTTAATATGTACACAGTACTGTAATGTATTCAAAAAGTCCCAAAAATTTCATATTAAATCCCATAGATTTCTGGATATTAAGTAATGCAAAATTAAATGATCCACTTTTTTTAGGACATCGCCAAAAAAAAAGCATTTTCGAATGTGGAAACGGCTGCTTTACTGTATATTTATTCGATTACCCGATTACCATACATTACATTTTCGACTGGGATGGTATACACTTACTTTAGAGTTAGCATAGTTATGGGCGCAGCTGTTCGTTAGAAGTGCAAATTTTGTGTTAATGACGACTAATGACCCGCTCGGTTTACGTAATAAAAGTCAACGACTTGTTTACATCACTTTTTTTGCAGTGATATGTAATTGCATACTTCCATTGTAAATTTTTAGTTTAACAGGTAAACTGGCTGCTCAAGCGTGAATTAGTTCAAGTAGTTACATGATTACAATCAACAAATTATTAAATTCGAATTAAAATTAATCGCTTATTTCACTTTGTACCTACATACTTATTACAAATACTAGGTTTTATAAGAAAGAGCATTCATTACAATTATATCTGGAATCACAAGGCATAAGACGTTGGCTTTACTTTAATGTACCATTCGGGTAGTATCTACCATTGCGTATGAGGCACTAGACATTGAAAATCTATTGACAAATAAACTTCAAAGAAAGAACTTCTAACTTCACTAACCCTCTCTTATATTCCCAAAAAAAAGCCTCATAAAACTTCCTTATGGTTTAAATGGTGCAATATACTTAAAATATCCCGACTTAAACTGTTATACCTTGTGACCACAGACATATAATCATTTTATTGCAATTAACTTTAAATCAACAGCAAGCGTAAAAGCTAATTGTGTCAACTTATAAAATATGTATCGCGACCGATTATTAATACTACTGAGTTCACCTACACTGTTGCAAGAGAAATCCAAGTGATTTTTTCAGCCGTAAAAAATTAAATGTGGGTTGAGTTGCAAATTTAATAGGCGCCTACACAAAATAATTGCCAAAATTTTCGTAAAGTTTGTAACACGCGGCTCAATGTTTTCATACTATTGCAGAAATTCATAGTTTTATGTCACCAACGAGCAAACTAATTAAAATAGTGAAATTAATTTGACTCAAATTTAAAAAAAGTATGTAATGCTGTTTCACTAGCCCTTTCAATTTTAATAGGATAAAATGCATGTTTCAAGTGGCTAACAACTCTAGTTGATTTTTTTTACTTTTTTTGCTGAGAGTGCTAGTCATTTCCTTTCATATAAATGAAATTTCGAGTATTTTTTAAATGGAAGAAAATGCATAACATTGTTAGCAAAAAATCATTCATTACTGAGGGCGAATCCTCTATTTTCTTTTCAATTGAAGGTTGGTAACGTATTTGTTCATTCAATAATTATTTTTACCAAATTGTATATTATGCTATGTTTGGTTTTCAGTTAGTATCGAGAAATTAGTAGTTCAAGCCAAGTATTTGTGCTGAAAGTTAAAAAGTGTCAATGCCAGTTGCTAATATTTTTAAGATTAGAACTTTTAAAGATCAAATTATTTCCTTGTGGTAGATATTATGCAGTAGGCTGTTTATTCCAACTGAAATTTCATTTAGTAAATAGAGTAGCTTTTGCCCGCAGCTTCGCCCGTGTGATGTTTTGGTTTAACGTAATTCTTTGAAATGTAACAAAGAAGGAAACAATTAATTTCACTACATACATATATAATGCCTTTTGTTAAAAAAAGTTTAGCAATTCAAAATAATGACATCGACTGCAATACATTTCGTAAACAACGTCTTATTCATTTTATATTATATTATTTTATAACATTTTTTTCACTTTTTGTTTATTTGATATGTTTTATTTAACTTTTTTGTTTATACTTAGATAATGCCATATCTCAGCCATCATACATAGTTCGTTCCATTTACTTATGTTAAAATTCCTTTAAATTGCTGCAAATAAATTTAACTCGTCCTAAAATACCTTAGTGCTCAATATTTCACTTGTTGCTCAGTTTCGGTAAGTTTATATTTCGTATTCTCGTTGAATGTTGAATGTCAGCCTTTCTTTTGCAACAACTCATAAATCATTTAATGTGGATTTCTCTTAATACCAGTAAACTGTCAAAGCCCATTAGTTAGCGCCTCAAAACGTGCTATCTTGCAACATTCGCCTCCTTCGTAGGCGCAGTTGTTTTGGTCGTGTTTGCATAAGTTTTTGCGGTTCTTAATGCTTATTGGGCGCTTCTTTTTACTCAATTAGTTTTGGAAAAGCTTTTCTGAAGAAAAAAAAATCTACTTACGTCTCCTTTTGCGCCTAAAATCAGGAAAACAATGTACATATTTACGTACAGTTTTACTTATAAAAACCTACACCTATACTTCCCATATTTGCGCCCACTTCAGCAAGCGCGTTGATCCAAACTGTCAAACTGTCAATTTTGCTAAAGAGTATTAAAAAACTTTTTCAACAAAACACTTACATATGTATATACAGCCACACCTTTTGTGGTCGCCTAATGAGCACTATGAGTGTGGATGTGTTTGAGTGTTGCAATAGGCGATTGAGCGTTCAATAGTAGTTCAAGAGATTTATCATATTAATTGTTTGTATTGTGGCTCAGTTTGCATTTATGTACTCAAGCGAATGTGTGCGAAATGCATACGTATTCATAAGTATATGCATGTATACATATAGTATGACACCGATTGGTATTTATAGTATGTTTACATGTACATATACATATGTTATATACGAGTACGTGTATATGTGAGCTATTTTATCTTCTAACCTACATATTGTTGCCTACACATAGGCGCTTAACCATAAACAGCTTAATTAGTTCAGTTAGTTGTGGTCGTGCTCTGCTTGGGATCTTAGCTAGTTGTCCTTCGAGCTAATTTACTGTCCTTTCCCCTTATATTCCCATGGGGTTTATTCTGTTCTATATCATTTTCTCCGCACTACAACTGGACATGCGTCATGTATAATTTAGTGCTATTGCTATGGGTAAGGTTAGGTTTGTAGGTCAGCTATTTATCGTTAGTTATCTAACATGCGTTTACAAGTGGATGTGTTAGTGCACCTAAATGTATGCTTCTTTTTGTATTATTTTACGTTATTTCTATGTTTTTTTTTCCTTCTTCAAAGTTGAGTAACAGTTGTGTTGAGTGTAAATTGAGCTTTAACTATTGCACACCCTATCAAGATTACAGCAGATTCCATAAATACATAAGCAGCTTTACGAATCAGGTAGTAAATTTGCGCATTAGTCACATTTATTAGGCTGTCAGAACGCGAACTAAGAAAATAAACACACGAACTCGTAGCAACTCTGACATTTCGCAGCTTATCACTTTTATGTGCTCACACCAAGTTTTCATCTAAGTAGTCACTTACTTATATTTATGTGAGTTTCCGAGTAAGTTGTGGGCTTTACTGGTAATCAATTAGCGACTTGATTCGTTACAATTTGCAAAACAAAGTTGGATGAGCNTTGCTATGGGTAAGGTTAGGTTTGTAGGTCAGCTATTTATCGTTAGTTATCTAACATGCGTTTACAAGTGGATGTGTTAGTGCACCTAAATGTATGCTTCTTTTTGTATTATTTTACGTTATTTCTATGTTTTTTTTTCCTTCTTCAAAGTTGAGTAACAGTTGTGTTGAGTGTAAATTGAGCTTTAACTATTGCACACCCTATCAAGATTACAGCAGATTCCATAAATACATAAGCAGCTTTACGAATCAGGTAGTAAATTTGCGCATTAGTCACATTTATTAGGCTGTCGGAGCGCGAACTAAGAAAATAAACACACGAATTCGTAGCAACTCTGACATTTCGCAGCTTATCACTTTTATGTGCTCACACCAACTTTTCATCTAAGTAGTCGCTTACTTATATTTATGTGAGTTTCCGAGAAAGTTGTGGGCTTTACTGGTAATCAATTAGCGACTTGATTCGCTACAATTTGCAAAACAAAGTTGGATGAGTTTGGGTTGAGAGGAATGTGTAATTTTGCCACGTACTCACAATAAAACTTATTACCTGCTGTTTTTATTGTTGTTTTGTCTAAGAACGTACATACATATATCATGTACGTACATACTCTTAGAATACATACTTACATCTCGAACTTGAATAAGGCTTTCATACGCTTTCGGCGAGGTGTTGCTCTGAATAATTTACTGAGCTGCGAAAAGTAATTAAGCGTAAAGTATTGTTGTTTTTAGGTTGAAGGATAAATAAGTAGGAAGAGTTAAGGGCGTTAGTTAATAAACAATCAACTTGGGTACTTACTTACTAATCCTGTGATGTCTTGTTAACCAATAATTATGGAATTGCGGGACGATGTAAGTCTGAAACTGTGGGCTGAAAAGAAACCTTGTGGTCAAAATAAAATACCTCCTATTGGAATTAACTGCTTTGAGTGTTTTTTTTTTAATTAAAAGTAAATACATAATATATGTAGAGAGAAGATTATGTAAAAAATTAAACCATATATTCAAGGTCACTTGAAGGTCAACAAGTAATATTTAATTTTTGAGCATGTGTTTCATATCGAAGCACACACACATGAGCTGTGCGCCATTTTTTTTTTTCTGCTAACGCACGCTCATGGGTACGAGCGGTGAGCTCAATGAAATGTTTGAATTGAAACTTCTTTTGCATTCAGTTGAGAGTAGATGCAAACATTGTTGTAAGGAAAAAACGACACACTCAAGGCGTATTTAACGTATTGAATACGCCTTGGACACACTCGTCGTTAACGTTAGAGTTAAGGTTGAGGGTAGGGTTAAATGGTTAAGGTTAAAAATTAAAAAAAAAAATATTTCATAGAATTTTACTTATTCTTGTTTAATAACACTATGCGACAGTCAAAATCGGGATGGGATGAAACCAACGGGAAATGTTATATCGGTCAAAAACAAATTATACGGGTCCCGGCGTTTCGCTGGGTCACGTCTAGGAATCGAGATATATATATATAACTATCATATAGGGGAAATTGTCACCTTCGGTGGTCTTTTTTTGACATAACTCGAGAACCACTGGTCCGATTTTGCTCAAACAAATTTAGAAAAATTAAAAATTACAATTCCTTTAATCTGTTCATATAACGTTTTTCTATATAATCAACAGTTTTGCCGGTAAAAATAAATGTATGAAGAAAAAAAATATTTTTTGCCTAAAATATTAAATTATTTTAAAACTGTTGATTATATAGAAAAACGTTATATGAACAGATTAAAGGAATTGTAATTTTTAATTTTTCTAAATTTGTTTAAGCAAAATCGGACTAGTGGTTCTCGAGTTATATCAAAAAAAGTCCACCAAAGGTGACAATTTCGCCTATATGATAGTTATATATATATCTCGATTCCTAGACGTGACCCAGCGAAACGCCGGGACACGTATAACTTCTTTTTTACCGATATAACTTTCCCCGGTAGTTTGAACCCTTCCCGATCACTGACCCCAACCATTTGTCTCACAGTGTAATGAATCATTACTGTTTGACCTACAAGTGGCTTTGACCATTTGGTTTACTTTTTTTACAT